CATATGCATACGGTATGTTTTATACTTAATTTATACTCTTTAATCATTAGTAAAAAAGTATTAATTATACATATAAAATATAATTCCCTTTATAGAAAAAATTATGTAGATTTTGTTTGCTATGATTTTTTTACATTATTAGTACTAATTTGAAAATAAAAAGTTTCACTAAAATAGCAGTCTGGAGCATTAGAAATATCTCCTTCTTTGCAGGACCTTTATACAAAGAGAACTATTCAAGTTCTTTGAAGAAAATAAGTCAAAGCAGCAAATCTCTCTGTCTTTATAACTCAGGACTTCAGTAATGATGCTTGGGTAAAAAAATTAAGAATCAGAGGGTGGTGACCGCCACCAAAAAAAAAAAAAGCAGAAGAGCAAATGTGTTCCCTGGACACAGCGGAATTGTTTTGGGATACTTCTGGTATCCCAAAATCCCCCCGCAGTCTAGCCATTCCCCCAGTGTAAGACCAATCAATAAAGAGCAGGGAATTAAAAGCTTTCTCTCTCCTTCTTCTTTAAAATTTACAAACTCAGTTATTGAGAAGTTCAGGTAGATTGTGTTTTGGCAATTTCAATGCACACACAATTTTAACAACTCATACATTTGTAAAGATTACATCATCTTAACAGCGTGCAGTATACAGGTACTATTAACTATTGTATCCTTATCAAGGGTGTATTTCCAATAACTTTCCAGTTTTCAGTTATATGCTTTCTAGCTAGATATTAAAAAACTAGAAAATAATGCTCTGTAAGCTCCAATCCAGTGACCAAGCTAATTCAAGTCAACAGGACAAAGACTCACGGATGTCAATATCTGTCCAGTAAGAACATTAGAGCTTTGACATAGCTTGCACTCTTTGATGTACATTTCAATGACTGAACTTTTCAAATCTGCAATTTAAAATCCATAGAAGAATATAATGTGGCTAATCTGCAAATATCAAGTCCAAACACTGCACACTAAGGGCCAAAGAAATTCATTATTCCGTCCAAAGGGAAAACTGGCATAAATAAATTGAGCGGTATTTCACTCCAGTTTTCTGTGATCACAGTACATACAAAACATCAGGTGCCAGCATCTAAAATGTCCTATGAGATGATAAAGCGAGTGGGCACCTTTGATTTTCCATGCTGTGCTATTTTGATTGGGATCCAGGTTTGCTCTCATTGAAGTTCTGAGAGTTTTGCAATCGCAGGATCAGGTTCTTAGTGTTTTACCAGTGCATACAACTGATCATAAATACGAAACAGTGCTTATGCACCATTGTCCCTGACAATTTATTGAAATCCAGGGATTTTTTAAAAATACATTCATGACAGCACTTATGTTTGTAAGCTGATTTGAAGGTGGTCTGGTATCTTCCACAGACCTTCATTTAGGCTATGGTTCAACAAGGCATCTAAAAATACTTGACTGTGAGCATATGGTTCTCAATGGTTTCCAAATGTAAACTCAAGCTATACATAAGTGCTTTGCTGACCTGGGCCTCATTGAGGATTATTGTGGGGGGATAGCCACAATACTGTAATCATTCCTGACAGTCAACCACTGTGATCCACACTCTACAGTGTTTGCACAAAACTTTCATTGATATCAGTAGAAGTGTCACATTAAAAACAAATATAGCCTCATGGATCAAAGCAGAACTCTGTATATCACATGAGAGATTACTTTTTTCTGAACTGTATTGAACAGTTCAATTTGGTAGAAGATATTTGAGACAGATTCTCAGATTATGTAAATTGGCATCACTCCACTAAATTCAATGGAGCTGTATGAATATACATCAGTTGAGAATCTTGGGAACTATCTAATGGTTTTTCCCTAATTGATTCTGATAGCCTTACTCAGGAAGGCTATTCATGAAGTAAAGGAATATTTAACGTAAGTTAGAGTGCCACAGTATTGCCTTATGGAATTATAATGTTTTCAATGGTTAATAACTTTTAAACAATGTGAAAATGTGTCCATAATCACTACATTTCCCATTTTAGATTGCTGGGAGCCCTCTACTAATAGGGAGGCATGAAGGGGGTTGTTTTTAAGAAACCCTATTCAGAAGCAAAACATCTACAACTTTCTAGGTTCGTATTTTACAATTCTGTTCAATAGTAATATGCTCAAGAAATGTTGATTTCCCTTGGCCAATTAAAAATCATTTAATTAGCTATTCTCCCAGTTTAGAGAAGTGTAACAACCTATGTGGATTTTTCACACCTAACATATTTGATCTTTACAGATCAGCTGTAAATTTTAATTATTGAAGAAGTGGGTTGTGTCCACGAAAGCTCATGATACCCTCTACATTTTTTGTTAGTCTCTAAGATGCTGCAAGACTATTCGTTGTATATTGTGTGTACCTCAGTGAGTTTAGAGCTTCTTCCACGGAAGATTATTAGTTGGTTTCTCAGCTGGGGAACAGATGTAATTTTGTTATAGTGCACTACATTCTATAGTGCACTGACTTACACCCCTTCTAATCATCTTGTGTTCAGGGGGATTGTATGGAGTGCAAGTTAGAACAAAAATATGAGCTGGTATTTCAGGAATGTAACTTTATGAATTCTTCTCTGTGGCCAGCATAATTAAAATGCCAGAAGTCAGAGAAAATTGTGTTCCAGTCAACTATAAAATATAGCAGTTCAGGAGGAAATACTTAACATTAGAGAAACATATAATTCATATTAAAGTGGTCTTTCTAGATCTTCTTTAACTGTTTCCTCTTGGAACAATGAAATTTTCAATCAATAATTGCAGAAATGATATTCTTCACAAATAATACACTAGTCTAGCGTAAGGTTAGCATTAAGGTCTCTCTATTCAAACATGCTGAAACTGAATAGCACAGGTAACATATCACAGTCACACATCCTTTGCTGAATACAAGACAGCAACTCTAACATGAGCTGAAGATTTCCCCCCATTTCAGATCTTCATCTATTATTCAGTCAGACACCCGTCAGTTTTTAATACATCGTTCTTCCACCGTTCCTGCTTTTGAGCACGTTAAACTAACATTTTCTTTTAAGAAAGGCATTGCCTCTTTCTTCTCCAGAAATCCTGCTGTGTGTTTCCAATACATTTCAAAAGGTGAATTTTCTGATTGGAATACGTAGTTGGGTTTGGGGCAATAAGGCCAAACTTCCCTCAGTTTAAAAAAAGGTTTCAAATTGAAAAGTATATATTATACACTGATCTTGTAGTTCCCTCATTGGAAGCAGCCTGCTACACCCACCCTGAGCCCTGCTAAAGTAAATAGGACACTATCCACACATCTCAAATTGCAGGATTAGAGCTTTCTTTGACAACAAAACACCCCACTCCCTCTCTCAGAGAATTCCTTCCTCAAGTCCAGCTGAATCTGAGCTAGTGATGTTTGAAGAAAGGAATGTCAAAACCAAAGATGCTCCTTCCAGGGGGATAAATCATAATTTGCTATCGTATGTATTTTTATTGAAAACACACAGCAAAGATTATAGCCATAGAAAATTGTATAAAGGAGACAATTCCATTACCTTTGCTTTAAAACCCCCCCACAACTTCTTAATGTGAATACTATTTTTTTTCCATAATGCCCTAACTGGGGGAAAATAAACGGCATATGCCTTCAGCTTTTTTCTGTTGTTGTTCAGTTCACTAGACAGAAGTTGAAATATTGCTTTATTCCATCTCACCATACAACCGATCGATTGTTCTATTTTGGAAATTCACTCTTGAGACTTGTGAACTGGAAAGTGGGGGCATATCTGATAACTTTAGCAATTTCCTTGCTGTAAGAGGAGTTTGTATTTGAATACATTTTGTGTATACTGTAGATTTTGTTAATAAAGAAACCAGTTTCCTGGCATTGAACAGAGAATGTTACTTGGTAATTATGTACTACAGTTCATTCATTTTTTAAAACAAATAATTTAAACAGACTGCATTTCAAAATAGTGGTTCACATGTCATTACTGAATTTAGGTCACTGTATTAGTGGCATACCATATATTGTGGATACAGGAGAAAAACAGAAAAAAAAATGTAAGAAAGCAAGTGCTTCAGAAAATGTAACTTGAATGACCAGATGTCCCAATTTTATAGGAACAGTCCTGATATTGGGGGCTTTCTTTGTTATAGTGATGCGTTTTACTCTCTACCCCTTTGTCCTGATTTTTCTCACTTGCTGTCTGGTCACCCTCACTGCAACCAGCAAATGATCTTTCTTTTCTAAAACCTTTATCCTCCCAATGGATCTATTTGACAGAACATATGCACCCGTCCACAACCTTATTAAGACAAGACAGCTCTTTGCAAATGCATGGACCCACCCATGCCAAACCAGCTGCAGTAAAGGGGGGGCCTTAAAAGTTCACAAGCATAAAGTCATGTCTACTTAAAATGACTGGGAAAAATTGAATATGGAAATAAATTAGTACAGCATGAACAAATGTATGTCAACTATTGATCATATTGTATCTTCCCAACTGATCTCTGAACAAACCATACTAAAATATACTTTAAAAGTATTCATTTGGAGTGCTCAAAAATGTTTTCAAAGTAGAACATTTTCAAAAAACTGATTTTTGTGACAAAATAATGTGGTTTAAATTCCCATTGGTAGAAAATTCATAACACCCCCCCCCCAACACTATCTTTTCTTCTTCTTTCCCTCTCTCATTGGCTGTGTCTAGACTAGCCAGTTTTTCCAGAAAATCAGCCGCTTTTCCGGAAAAACTTGCCAGCTGTCTACACTGGCTGCTTGAACTCAGGGATAAGCCCTCTTGTGCAAGAATACTTGCGCAAGAGGGCCAATGTAGACAGGCACCTTAATTTTTTGCGCAAGAAAGCCCAATGGCTAAAATAGCCATCGGAACTTTCTTGTGCAAAAGCGCGTCTATACTGAGCACGGATGCTTTTGCGCAAAAGCACTTTTTGCGCAAAAGCCCCCGTGCCAATCTAGACGCTCTTTTCCGAAAATGCTTTTAACGGAAAACTTTTCCGTTAAAAGCATTTCCGGAAAATCATGCCAGTCTAGACGTAGCCATTGAAAATCCAAATTTCATGAGCATAGTTCATAATGAGATGCAGCTGCACAGTGCAATATTTGAACATTGCAACTCTTGCTCTTAAGCCCTGATCTAACAAGCCAAGGATGTGCGTGATAACTCAATGGTCAGGGATTGTCCCATTTACTTCTCTGAGACTACTCATGTACTTAAAGGAAGTCACATGCTTAAGCATTGGGCTGAATCAGGGATTTACTGTTGCTTCAGATTTTAGGTGGCTTAGAACCATACTTCAGCATTTAGACTTGGAAAGAATGAGGCTTTGTGTGTGTGTGTGTGTGTTGATTAGTTTTAAAATTATGACTCAGGGACTAAACTACAGGCAATCAGGAGGGAAATTATGGGCCTGTATTATTTGAGGCTACTCAAGAAGAACTTACTCACCAGCGAATGAATTGCTGGTGGACAGATCAATGCAGCTCTACTTTGAAACCAAAGAGTCTAAGAATGAATTTGGCCTTTTTGAAAAATATGCATAGCCCAAACCTTCTAACAGCCAAATGGGACATTTTAAAAACATACTGTATTCTGCAACTGAATGGGTAACTCAGGGGGAAAACACCCAACTCCCCCTCCCTCCCAAAAAGAAAACCTCAAAACAAAAAATCTTTAGATGTATGCTTTATCCCTCCTGTATCTTTTCTTTCTTTTAAAAAAATATTTTATTAAAAAACACTATGATATGAGGGTGATCGACTATTTGGTTTCTTCTAAGTAGATGCTTTTAAATTAATGCATATAAATAATTTGTATTTAATTTCCTTCCTTCATGTTTAGCAAAGCATTGAATGCACCCATCCTTTATTTCCCCACCCCCCCACTCTCCTCAGTCACTTGGTCAATGCTGAGTCTCTGTGTGTTTCGCTTCTTAAGACAAACTTTGCCTCTCGTTCTGATTTCGCCATGGGATTCATGGGCAGAAAAGCTGTGTTTTCACTTGCACTGTTCTCTGATTCTGTGCTTGCCAGTTCATAGTCCTCTGACCTCCTTACATCAGTCAGAATTCGAATCTGCTCCTGGACAGTTTCTAGCAAAATTTTCACTTCCTGTTGCTCTGCTATAAGACGATTGTTGCCTGGGCCACTGACATTGACAAGTTCAGCTGAATAGGAGTTTTTGCACCATTTGACGCCTGTTACTTCAGAAACATTTTGCATTTGCATGCAGGCTTCATCCAAGCCCACTGAGGGGATGATGGGAACTGAACTGGCCCTTGATGAAGAATATCCAACCAAGTCCTTCTGATCCACATTATTAAAATAAGGAGTTGTCTCTTGTGAAGGCAGTTGCATATTTATTGAAGTATTCTGAGGCGGTTTTAAACCAGTGGATGAATACCTAAAATAATAACAAAAAAAATAGCTTTTTCATTTTGTATGACACAACCAGAACATCTGTTGAAAAAGTTCATTTACATTCATCACATTTTCACAACACTATTTAATCAGACAATGTAAAAGCAAAAGCTTACATGCATTGCGCACGAGTAAGGAAAAACAAGATTTGACCATAATGCAATTTGGCCTTTCTGAGTTTCTACTTCAAGGCCCAAATGTAGCTTGATACTTGTTAGAAACTAGCCATCTTGACTTGCATTGCAGTACTCACGTACTTAACTACCTCATGTCACTGTAGTGTGTCATTTAGTCTGAGTAGCTAAAGAACTAATAAAAAAGAAATATAGATTCCCTAAGGCACCATGTTCACCAGATTTCCATTGATTGTAGTTAGCGTGATTATTGAACATTGATTGCTGTACACACAATTCAGTATATCCATCTTCAGCATGGCTATGTCTAGACTGCAAGCCTCTTTCGAAAGAGGCTCTTTCGAAAGATACTTTCGAAAGAGCCTTCTTTCGAAAGATACTTTCGAAAGAGCCTCTTTCGAAAGAGAGCGTCTAGACTGCACGCGGAATTTCGAAAAAGCAAGCCGCTTTTTCGAAAGAAAGCACCCAGTGAGTCTGGATGCTCTCTTTCTAAAAAGCCTGTTTGCTTTCAAGAACGCCTTCTTTCGAAAGAGCACTTTCGAAAGAAGGCGTTCTTCCTCGTGGAATTAGGTTTACCACCATCGAAAGAAAAGCCGTATTCTTTCGATTTAATTTCGAAAGAACGCGGCCGCAGTCTAGACGCAGGTGAAGTTTTTTCGGAAAAAGGCTACTTTTCCCGAAAAAACCCCTGAGTCTGGACACAGCCCATGTGTAATCACTGGACATATAATTCAACACTTTCTCTACTCTAACACCCCATTCAAGTGATTCAGAAGCAAAGAATTATATACTCTGGCTACATCTACACTGCACAGTTATTTCGGAATAAGTTATTCTGGAATAGTTATTCCAAAATAGCTTATTTCGAAATAGCACGTCTACACTGCAGGGAAACCTCAAAATTAGTCCAAGGCAGACTTCCCTAATGGAGACATGCTAACTCAATTTAGACCCAAGGAGGAATAGAATGGCTCTGGTGGGGAGTGTAGCCAGACATACTAACCCCATATCATCCATCTTATTTGCCTCTCTGAAGCACAGGGCAGAGAAGGAGCAATAATATCAGCATAGTCTATGCTGGCTCATCTGATCCTGAGAAGCTGAAACACAGATATGTGGATAGAGAGCAGCTAAGTCAATAAGCTGGCCTCGAGGCTGAGGCTGGCACCTATGTTGATTCGAACACACACACAGTCCCTGGGAGGGGAATTTCCAACTGAGAAAACAATGTCCCGTACTTCCAATTTAATCATCTCAAATTCTCTCTTACAAGTGTAAATTAAGTTTACAACTCCCTTGTAAGAACTGGTCTCACAGCAGACAGACCAGCATCAATTGGCATTACAGATAAGAAAGAGAAATACGTGACCCCATGAGTATAAAA